TAGATGTTCATTATCTATCAATAGATCAGTTCTATAATTGAATGTATTAACTCGTTTGAAAGCTTTTTAAGGGTAAAAAGTTTTTATAATGGTTATTCACACTTGTTTTTATCATATATGCTATTTCAACGTGTTTAAACACCATGATTCATAAGATTAAAGTTTAAATTGATTATAATTGGCATGAGATTATAGGTGAATGTTTACGAAATACCCTTATCTCCTAACCTGTCCCCTTCCCGTATCCATTCATGGAGTTTTTGTGACTCATATGTTATTTTTCTTATTTTTTTATTGTAGACCAATGATAGCATTTTGATAGCAACCAGTAATGTGGATACCAATGTTTGGTCTTCATTCTTTAGTAGGTGTTTAGCAGCCATTTAATGCCTAAAAGGTCGATCATGTTCTGTTGACGAGTCGGTCAAATGTTTATATTTTTGGATTTGATTATGTTTATAGATTAGGAACATGTTATGTTAATATAGCCTATGTTTGACATTTTACATAGATAACTTTATGTATGATATTATGATGATGGTTCGAAAGCCTATATGAATCCCTAAGAGTGTTGTTGATGATAATGATACTATGCACTATGATGGTGACACTTATTGATATGTATGAGTGTGTGTGTGTGTGTGTATCACATGCTTGAGCTTACACAATTAATTTGAAAAGTTCCTTAATTGTGTAATGAGTATTATGAATGCACGCATGATGATTTTATAGGTAAATAAATGTTATAAAATGCTTTCGCATGAAATGATGAATGTTTAATGATGTTATGGTAAGAGGCTTGCTTAGGCCTAACGGGTTATACTCGTCTGGGTCTATGCATCAATCATGATCCTTCCAAAAAATGGGATGTGACAAAGACTTTTAGATAAAGTATCGAGACCTCATTCTTTGAACTTCAAATTCTAAAGAGTAAATGCCAAAGTATCGAGACCTTTTTACCAAGTATCTAGACATCATATACAAATATGGTTTTCCAAAAAGCAAGCTATTATGTATCAAGACTAAGGGACAGAGGTATCAAGACATGGTTCAGTTTGGAAATTGCCAAGGATGAACAAGTATCAAGACATATAACAGAGGTATCGAGACCTCAATTGAAACTTGCAATTAAAGTATCGAGACCTGTGTCATTGGTATCAATACCTCATATCAGACAAGCTAGAAAAAGACATGAACAATGGACATATTTTTCACCTCATGTCTCCAAACGACTATGATCAAGCACATACCTATAAATAAAGGTCTGAAACACACTTTGGAAGAGAGAGAACACCAAGAGAAGAATTCCTAACCAAGAGAAGAATTCCTAACCAAGAGTGAAAGCTTCAACATCAAATTCCTTGAAAATCACTGTTCAAATCAAGTGTTCATTACTTTCTTGTTAAGCCTTCATTCTCTCTTTGTATTTATAGCTTCATTCAACCTATCTAGAGGCATTTAAGCTTTCATCTTCATTAGCTTGTAATCCATTGTAAGTATTATAAATTATCGTAGAAACGTAGAGTGGTTGTAAGAGGTTATACGTTAACGTAAGTAAAAAGTAGATAGGCGCTTGATTCCTAAAATGCAGTATATTAAAAGGTTGTGCTTGATCCATAAAAGGCATTGTATTGAAAGATTATCCTTGATCCACATAAGGCAGTACATTGTAAAGGTTATGCTCGAACCTTTGAAAAAGTAGTTTTTGTAGTGGATCTCAAACTCCTTGGTGAGCCAAGAGAAAGGACATAGGCATCGAAGCCAAACCTCCATAAATCTTGTTTCTTTTACTAGTTTGTCGAAATTTCTTTTTCTTTTTCTTTCACTTGCTAAACTCATTTTACAACCACTTGCAAACAAGTTTCAATAACTCTTCATTCTGAAGTTTCAAAGAGGTTTTTATCCTTATCTTACTTGAGATTAATTTTTCCTCAAAGGCTCTATAAAGATTTATTTTAAAATACTCAATTCACCGCCTTCTTAAGGTTTATCTTTTGAACTAACATCCTAACATGGTTAATTTTTTTGTTTTTCCTTTTTGACCTTTTTAAATTGCTTTTTTCAATTATTATATTTTTAAGATACCTTCCATTTATTACCAACTTACATATATAGTTATTCAAATGTTGTATATTTGTGACTAGATATAAGGTAATTTTTTTTACTTGGCATTCTTTCGTATGTGAAAAGCATGATAATTTGAACTTATTTAGATTATTATATATTATGCTTTATTAAACACAAATTGAGATCATATAAATAAATTTTAAATTCTATTATATCTTACTTTCTCTTTAAGACTATACTTAGTGACAAAGTTGTGATTAATTGTAGTTTTGCAATTTTCAATCAAACCAGGAGAACTTTATAGTATATTTTAAATAATACATTGGTAGATTACATTTTTCAATAGATAAAATATTTTTATTTATGTCTATATTTATTACTAAATTATGCTATTTTCATGTCCATTAAATAGAAAATCATGTTATGTTATTCTCATTCTGTTCAAAAAATTATGCATGTTGCTCAAGCGCATCACACGGGTAGCACTCTAGTTTGAATTGAAGTGATAACATTGCACCAACCAAGTAAAGGGGTAAATCTGAAACCCCAATTTAAGGTTCATTTTATAACCAGAAAATGATTTGCTGGAAGAAAATTGTGTGTAAAATATTTTGTATGAAAATTTAATATTTTCTGTTGTTTGGATAAACTGTTGAAAATATTTTCTGTTGTTTGGATCATTCTATGAAAAATATTTTCCACCATCATGGTGGAGTTTTTTGGATGTTAAAATGATAAATAGAAGTTGATTATAAAACAATGGTCATATTTGGTTTTCACTAATTTGATATCAAAATTATGAATGTAAATAAAAATAGACAAAATCAATAATGATATTTCTCAAAGCATCTAACCACATATCTACAATGAAACTAAGCTCTAATTTTGAAAAAAAATTTCCATCACACCACTTTTTTACATAACACAATAAAAAAAAATATTATTTGTCAACTGTATAAGACATCAAAAAGCTATATATATTCATCAAATGATAAGCATTGAAATATTTTTTATTATAATTAGTAGTAAGATTTATACATAAAAATTTTTATTGCATTGAAATATTTCATAAAAAAATAATTTTTTAATTTTAATAATGTTGAATAATTTAAATATTAATATTTTAAACTATTTTAAATTAAATATTAATATTTATCAAACTTATATTCTTAGACTTAGTATAAAAAGTTTTATTCTAATTTTTCAAAAAATATCTTATTCTCTTTAAGATGTAAGATATTTTACATGATCAACGAGTGTTTTTCTCATTGACCATTAGAAATTAATTTTTCATTTTTCAAACATATATAAATCTCAGAAAACGTTATTCAAAAAATATTTTACGTGTAAATAACCAGATCCTTAATAAAGGGGTAAGTTTGAGCATTATTTTATTTTAATAAAAAAGTTTAGCTTGCACAGACAAACACTAGACAAGTGAAATGCAAAAAGTTCAATAAAAGGCACAAAAGCATCACAGCTGCTACAACTTCGAGTTTGTCCAACCTGTTGAGAAGAGTCATTCTCGGGCTACACATACGACCTGCTTCCCAATATTTTTACCGGAGAATAGTCCAACAAAAGCAGCAGGAGCAGTTTCTAATCCTTCACTCATATCTTCAACGTACACAATCTTCCCTTGTTTGTAGCTCTCAGTGACATGTTCCAAAAATTGTGGGAACTTATGCAAGTAATCGCTTTGCAATAATCCTTGCATCTTGATGCGCTTGGTTACAAGACAAAACAAATTGTGGATTCCTTTTGGATCAGAGTAGCTATGGAGTGACACCATTCCACAAACTGCTATACGGCCATGAACCTGCATATTTAGTAATGCTGCATCCAACATGGCCCCGCCAACATTGTCAAAGTAGATATCAATGCCTTCTGGGAAGTACCTGTCTAGAGATTAGGCATTAATTATGAGGAATTTGAAAGTAACTTCATCTGTTAAATTGCAGGGACAAATGCAGAAGAAAAATTATTTACTACAAAGCCATTCCTAGTGAAGAAACACTTCAAATAAAAGTGCATTTGAGGGTGTGTTGTATTGATGTGATGTTTTCAAGCGTCCACTAAACTTATATCTATTAATTCTTACTTATGAAGTAAGCATCGGGTAAGTTCATTGAGCATGATTAACTATAAGAACTTCATTTGATATTATCATTCTAGTGTCTATTGAAACATTCTCACGTGTCAGTCATGTAATTGATCCTTAAACTTAGGATCATTAGTTATTTTATTTGAGAATTGTTGTACTTTGATATTGTCTTGGGTAGTCTAAACCAAGGATATGCAATAGGGTACATGTTGGATAAAACATGAACCACATAAAAATAAATGAATGATAAAGAAAAGATACATCACCCTGAATGATTTAAGGGAGATATTCCATTGTTTTTTGACGTGTCTTTTAACTCAAGGAAATCCTTGGCCAAGGTGAAATGAAGATTCCAAGAAAAAAGTAATTAGAATTCCATTAAGAAGTTACGAAAAGCTTCAAAAACTAAAATGACCAAAACAATTATAAAGTAAACACCGCACCATGCTCTATGTCTTATCTAGATATTAGATGGTGAAGGATTGAACTCTAAAAGGCTTAGTCAAACCTCTTTACCTCTCTTAATATTTAAATAGTCATGACACATTGTTAGATACAAATTTTGACTTATAAATATGAATTAATCAATTTATAAATTGATGATGAATGTCAATTACTTGATTTAAACTAAAATCTAATCAGTAATAAATTATAATTTATATTTATTATCAACACGTAAAGAACCTACTAAGTCACATATAACAAAGGATTTCAATGTGGCAAAAGAGTGATTCTTTTTGGTTATTTGGGCTTTAGACATATCAGCTCTAACTATTTCTTTTAACTTTTACATTTTTATTTTGGCTTATTGGGAGGTAGAGAGGGATTCTTCCTAGGTTGTAGGATTTTTGTTTTCAGCATTTCTGGCTCTCACTCTCTCTTAGCCCTACCACTTTTTTTGTTGTTATGGACGAAAATATTAAAAACTCATTTAAAGAATTAAAATAACTACTTATTATAATCTAAAATACACTTAAAAGTAGATTAGTAACATTAGTTCAATTCAATCTAAATATATTTTGATTTCTTATAAATTACAAGTATTAGAATAATTAGTTATATCAACCAATAAAACCTAGTTGTCTTTTCTAAATATAATTTAAATACTTTATGATTATACATAAAGTTGAGTGATTGCATCAAACATCTATGACCTTTGGACAATATTTCATTTTTATCTATCATTTTATAACTCAAATTTTGGATTTGGGACTTTTTAAAAATATTTCATATTTGTCCATTCCATCAACCTTCCATTAAAATGATAGAATCCATCACCTCAAAGCCACATGACAAAACATAGGTGACCAAACACAATTGGATGTTCACATGGCAAAAAAAAGGTGAATTTGTTTAACTTTTGGGTAGGGATCCATGTGGCACAAAGGTAGAATATAGCATTAATTTTTAATGGTGGTTAGCAGAATGGATGGATTTGAAACTTTTCCAAGAGTCACAGCTCCAAAAATTGAATATTATAATTCACAAATAAAACTGAAATATTACACAAATGCCACAGATGATTTTTCCATTTTACGCCATAAAATTAGCACTCAAGTGGTAAAAGTTGAAACCTAGCCAAAATAGTTTCATTCTCCATCAATGTCCAAATAGCCAAATATCAAAATTAGATCAACATTATGTCAATTAATTTTAATTATCATCAGCTGTTGAGTAACTAAGTAGTCTACTAAACCAATTAGACTAATTAAGCTTTCCTTCTATTTTTTTTGTCTTTGTAAAGCATGGTATTAGTACTTATAGTTGACAATTTTTACTAGAATTTAGAATTCCAATTGAATCGTTTTAATCAAATTGATACATTTCTAATTCCTAAATATAAAGATAGACCACTTTACTAACTAATGGTGTTAAGTTATTTTAATAAATAATACTCTTTTATTAATATTATCTACTGTTAGGAGTGCTCTACACGTACTGAAAGAAAAGCTTGCATTGTAATTCTATTCTATTTCTAACCAATGGATTTTGTTTCCTTTCTAACTAATAAATATATGAATATAATTAAAAAGAAAATTACTGAATACAAATGAAGAGTTAGCTTTAGGATTAGGACATTCGTCTATGGGGAATGTTAATGTGGCCTCGGAGCCTATTTCTTAATATATGACCTATAAACAAAACGACCCAAACCTGAAGCGAATCTAAACCCGAAATGACTTGGACTCAAAGACTCACTTGCCACCTCTACTACCTAGAATATGTACATGAGATTCCCCAAAAAATTGGCAACTCCATTGAATTCAAAAACTTATAAGTTAGGACATCATACTATTTCTGCTAAAGATGTATCTATTAAAAACTGGAATAATTAAAAAATGGCTAATTCAAATATATCCTTTGCTGACATCTGGTAGCAAAATTAGTATTTTGGGAAATTTTATTCTGAAAGTCTTATTACTGACCTTTTCAAAGCAGCATCTAGATCTGCCTCCTCTTTGTAGTTAAAAGCTTCATCAAATCCAAGCTTGTTCTTTAGAAGATCAACCTATACGCCAAAATCATTGCTTTTCTTGCATCAGTTCTTCTTGTATTATCACTTGACATGAGAGTTTAATTGTTAATGAATGAGAATTATTTGAATTCAACATAGGCACAATTTTGTAAAAAGAAACTTACCTTTTGGTTACTTCCAGCACTTCCAACTACATAGCAGCCATGTAACTTGGCAAGTTGGCCAACAAGCTGGCCAACAGCTCCTGAAGCTGCAGAGACAAAAACACATTCCCCTTTCTTTGGGCTGCAGATCTCATAAAATCCTACATAAGCAGTAAAACCTGGCATACCTGCATAAAATTTCTAAATCAGCAATGGCTTTAACATTATGAAGAAAAATCAATTATATGGGCTTTGTCATAAAATCAGCTATTTGATTTGCAAAGACATAAGTTTCAGGAAACACTGCAAAAATCTTTTATCTTATTTGTTGGTTTGGACTACCAGACAAACAAGCAAATAGCATCTTCTTGAACAGGGTTACTGGTCAAAAAAATAGTCTCATGTTGTTCCCTTCAAGACTACTTAGGAAAAGCTTGACCTAATGCTTCCTCTTACATACAAAAACTAGACAAAGCGCCTAAATATGTCACCATATCAACAAAACCCAAATTAACAGAATAACAATCAACAAAAGAAAGTTGTATGATCTGTGCACAGCAACCATATTTGGAAGAAAAAGGAACTCAAGATTCTAAGAAAGAATCAGATGTAGCCTACACAAATATAAAACTCTTGATTGGACAACTATCAGACACAAGCTACAATGCAGTAGTGTACTTAAGATGTTCTTTTTGTTTTGCCAGTTTTGTTTCTCTTAATCTCTTGATCATAATTAGCAGATTTGTGGGTTTATTTTTCATTTTTTTTTATACACAGTTTTCTGGTCATTTAACATTCAGGAATTTAATCAATTCTTTGTTATCCAGAAAAAGAAAGACACTCTAATATTCTAGCCACTTAATATTTCCACATAAATGACATTTTTTTTTCTTTTTCCATTGCAAGGAGCTCTGAGAGAAACATCTGCAGGAACAAAAGGCGAATGAGAAGTACAAAATCCCTATTAGCATTGCCTGCTAAAAGTAATATAGACTAAGGACCTCCACTTGAGATTTATCCTGATCATGCCAGTACAATTATGACTATGCTCATTTTTTCTTATGCAAGTTGTGTTCCAAAATAAGTAATTTTCATTCAGTTACCAGCTAGATCAGCTCAAAAAAAAAAAAAAAAAAAAAGAAATCTGCAAGCCCATAGAGAATGTGGGAGTCTGTTATATGCTTGATTGTTTATGATGCCAAAGAAGAAAGAGCTAATGCAGTTTCAATTTGAACTAAAGACTAGGGCTTTGCAACCCAATTTTGCACTTTGCCTTTTAGCAAGAGAAAGAAGTTCAACTTCCATGCAGGGTGACTTAATTAGCAAGCCAGTACTTTTGATGTTTAGGTGATCCTTGAACAGGATAGGGGCAATAGTGCACCAGCAAGCATCTGCAAAAGCAGGTAACTGGGTCTAATATACTATGCTTTCCAACAACAGGAGAAATTAATATCCCGTTGGTACAGAGGCACTTGGTCAAACAAACAAGTTAGCACTATCTGAGTAAATTAAACACTAAACAGGTTATCAGAATAACTTGATTTGCAAATGGCATTGTCCGTTTCTTCATTGCGGTAATGAAACATAGGGTTGAGGAAATCTAGTTCTTAAAGCGCAGAAATCTAGTGAGTGGCTGCAGTGGCCTATTCATGGAGAAAAAAACCTTGAAGCAGATAAAATAATAGTCGAGAAGTACAACTCTTGAAGGTTTACAGTAAAGAGATTGTAAAGCAAAAATCAATCATGGGCATTGGTGTTATCAAGTCAAGAAAGCAAAACTTCAGGCCAAATAGTTTCCACTTTCCAGTAGACAAACAAGCTCTAGTTGTCACCATCAGACAAGGTATTGGCTGAATTAAAAATGCTAAAGTATGTATGAAAGGAAGAATTCCAGACACGGTAATGCGTTCATATATAATCAATCCTGTCAGAACATAATAGATTGCGTAAGAAAGGAGCAATACCTAGAAGACCCACGTGGTAGGAGAGAGGGATAGAATCATCTGGTTGAATCTTTCTCAATTGTGAAGTATTGTGAATCAAGCTATACTCTTCCCAACAAGTGAATCCTGAAATGAAATCTCCTGGCTTGAAATTTGGATTATCAGAATCCAAGACTTTTGCCACTCCAAATCCTTCAATGGGCTTCAATCATCAAAAAACGAAAATAAAAATGTGGCTAAGTTGAAAATGTGGAACATCGAGTTCTTTTTCTCAGTAGAAGAGAATACCTGACCAGGGACAAAAGGTTGGATGTAAGAACCATGGAAATTACGCATGCGAGCTCTCATGTAAGGGTCACAAGAGAGATAGAGATTCTTGACTAGAAGAGCACCTGAGCCTTTGGGTGCCTTGAGCTCCACTGTCCCAATCTTCATCTCCATGTCTTCCGCTTTCGGTGCTCCCTCGATGTACCCTTTCAACACCACCTGCCCGTTATTCACTGTCGCCATTTTCACTTCTGGCTTTCGACACCTTCGCTTCACTGGAAAATCCAATCAATACTCTGCTGCTATTCACTCGCTCATTTCATTTCCACAGCTACGCGTTTCGACTATCAAATAACAATATTTTGTCCATTTTTCACACAGCCCGAGGCACCTAACTCTTTTAACCGACCCCGTATCACGTTTGTTTGTATTCGCCTACCCACCCCCTTCCACCACCTCCGTTATTGCTCTCCAACGCCACATTTCAGAGCTCAACTATTCACTGCAACAATGGGCTAATGCTCTAACAGTCCTACCTGGCTAGGTGGCTGGTTGAACTTGATTTTAGTGTTGTTTACTGAAAAAGAAAAAATCTTTTGCGTTGATGTCTCATATTTTCAGTTGCACAATAAAATTTAAAAGTAAGAATCAAATTCAATATTCAACAAAAATATAGAGATTTAATTTAATCAAATAAAAAAGAAAAAAAAATCATAATCGTAATTTCGCCTTCTTTTTTTGTTTTTCAATTTTCAAATAAAGAGAAAAAAGTAATTCTTAAAGTAAAAAAAAATCGTCTTCTTAGAACAAAAAAGAAAATTGATTATAGTAAATTTAAAAAAAAATCAATAAAGCCAATAATTAGTATGTGATACATGTCCTCTACGGTGACAAAATAATTTTAATAAACTTAATTTAATGTATAGAATCACACGTGACACGTTCCTATAGGCTTTGGGTTAATGACTTAATGGTGTTAATGAGCAAACCTGATATTCTTTTTGAAAGTAAAGTAACATATATTATGTACATTAGTTTTAATTAGAGTATCAAATAGTGCAACTTTTTATATATTTCGGACACCATATGCTTAATTATCTATAATCATAATTAAATTTTTCAATAACCTGCTTGAATTTGAGTCAAAATCTGGAGCATTAGAGATATAAAGATTCTTTAAGACAATGGCATAGTAAATAGAGGTTAATGCGAGTCTTATCTTTCAAAAGTTTTAAAATTTTATAATTTTATTCAAAATGTCTCGTAATAATTAATTAATAACTAATTTAATATATTTAGAGATTAAGGTAAAACCTATTACAAGTAATAGAATTATTTATCGAAATTCACTACTTCAAAATTTTATGATCATCCCATCTTTTATTCACATTTCTAGAAATGCATTCTGTCACACAATTTCACAGCTTTTCCATGAAGAGGATATGTGCTTTTAGCACAGTACAGTGATGTACATGTCTTTTCTAAAAGAAGAAAGACTTTTTTGGGCAATGTATCATGCATGCATGGTTCCATGATCATCATCCCTAGCAATAGACAATGCACTTGTTGCTTCGAGAGTTCCAACCCAATAATAACATCATCACCTCTCCCCCCCACCCCCACGAAGCAAAACTGGTTTGGGCCCAAATTGTTAGATTCGCTCTCCGTCTGACTGGACCGTTGTGCAGTTTGAGAATAATAATAATAATAATAGCAAGAACAGGGTAAGATAAAAGTGGTACTTATTAGTCTTAGAAAGCACAGAAGAAAGGTTGGTGATGCATCTGTCTTAACATTTTCAGACCCTTTTTGTTTTTCTGGTTAGAACGTTTGGTTGGTCCACAATGACTGCCCCAAACAACCTGCTCAGCCGGTTTTCTCAAAATCAAAATCTACCATTCAATCCCACACGTACCCTTCAACTCCAAGGCTCATGCCCATTTTACCTCTCTCAATTGGGTACAATTATCTCCAATCGTCCAACATGAAACCTACACCTGTCCTTTGTTTCCTTACGTACTCCTTATTCATTCATATTTTTTTCATATGTACATAGAAAGCATGAGTGGTCACATAAACAACTATAAGTCTGCTTCCTGTTTTCTGATACAAAAGAACTTTAGAATCTCTTCTTCTGTTCTTATACTCCTTTCTTTTCTGCTTTATTCTTGAGATCTTCTTGACCCCATTTTTTTTTTCTATCATCGTTTCAACAATATTATGCCAATGCATTCTGCTCAGGAAAGCAGGATGCGCCTTGGACGACTCTGCCAGCACAAAATTTTCAGGTTAGACTTGAGTCATTCGTTTTCCTTTTAAAGACTCCATCTGTTTGGTATAGTTACATTATGTGAATAACATTGTGGTTGCTGAATTAATTTGTTGGAGATTACATATATAATGTCAAATATTTTTGACAAAACTTGTACTAATTGGGTGCTCGTAGCTCTGTTTTTCTTCGTAAAAAACCAACACCTAACATTCCTTTAACCGGTCAGGCCTGATAGACTTCCCATGCGAGAGGATTTCAGACCCTCTTGTTATCTGCATTAGTGTTGTTCTTAAGGGTTATGCTGACGCAAAAACTGCAAAATATTGTTTAAGATCGGAACAACAACGAAACTTAAAGGGCTAGGGCCTTTTGTTTCCATATATAAAGTATAGCACTAGACGTTAATGTCTCCATCTCGATTACAGCATGATCATATCTTCCCTATTGTTTCTCAGCTGTGCTATACATTTAAGGTTGAATCGTTGACAGAGACTGTACCTAACGTTGCCAAACCAATACATAGAGCAGCTGCATATGTAGAGCTAGCTTCTAACAATTCCAGTTTAGGAATTCCCTATTTGCATTTGTGATTTTCAAGAAAATGGAGAGAGATGGTCAAGAAGGGTAGGTTTGAACAATAGAACTGGTAATAATCCTATTTCCTTATATATTTATTGCGTATAGAAAAGGTAGGGGAAGAAAATGAATACTGAATATAACTATTCTACTCTCCAATATTATATAGCTATGTTATAACATTATTTCTTGGCACAAGACCAGAGTATACGTTTATCACCAGGACTCAAGGTTAGAAACTCTATTTGCAGCCTCACTTTATATCTCAAGTTAAAATATAAATCGATGTTATACTTAAGAATTATTGTTGGCATCACAGAAGGTTTTAAAATTTTAATATTTTTATATATTTAGTTGTTGTATATGTGTTAATTTTTTTTTTGTCCAAATTTAAAATTTTATTATCGATACAGTGTATAGGATCAATAAAAAATGTAGTACGAAAGAATTATCCATAGACCAGATAGGGAATCAGATGTCAGTGTGTAATATGCTCTTAAATTAGTGTGAGAAAATTTAATTCCGATAAATATAGAAAAGGAAATAATAAGAGTAGGCTGTGACAGCTTATAAATATGGTAAATGCATGCATGGGGATGGGTAATTAGGAAGTAGATTAAACTGCCAACTTTTTTAATTATTATATTTTGAGATGCCCAATGATACATGATATGATTGATGTAGTTGAAGCAAAAAGGGTTAGGTCATATATAATTACCAAAAAAATATAAAACATGATTCAAGTAATAATTAGAGATGGATGTGATATTTGTCTGGTTAAATTGATTTTACATGTTGAGGAAGAGATACAATTATTGGACTGATTAAAACTTTTCTCAGCATGGTTTTTTTTTTTTTGGGTGGGGGTGGGGGTGGGAATAATTTCCTTAGACACACTAGAATATAACTACTTCATTCCTAAATCTATATGTCAGACATGATAAATTCGCAAGTCTATTTATTATTTATTAGGAGATCCTTTATATATAAATATAAATATATATATATATTTTATGTAATCATATTATTTATATATACTTTGAATAGCATAGGGACAAGGGTTGACTGTTAGGACTTATGGTTGTTTTTTGAATTAGAGTTGAAATGTGGAACGGTTCGTTTAGAGTGGAAGAATAGATAGGAAAAATTGAAGGAAATAAGAGGTCAAACCATACAACCTTTGGGTGCCACACCTCAACCAGCTACCAATCTCAAAGACTGGTAGTTTAAGACTAGTTGAGGGTCAGATATAAATGAGTATATTTTGGGTGTTGAGTCAACCTAACTTCCTGTTTTTTATCCTTGTGATCGTAACTGTAGTCTAACCTTTGCTTATATATATTTTTATATAATATATATAATAATACAAATTAAATTCTTCACAATCCAAGCGTAAAACTTCTGTTTATGGATAAATAATTGTCACTGGTAACGTATACACCTACAATCTCAACATTCATTTCATTTATACGAAAAAAATTTACATATTTATTTTTATTGGTTCCAATTCAACTAAACAATTTTGTGTTTATCTAACTAGTTTAACTATTAACTTTAGTTTAGTGTAGCTCTCGAGTATTTAATTTATTAGTTAATATATGATCTTTACTTAGAGAATAAAATTCGAATTCCTTTTGGCTTGGTTAACAAAAAAACTTTAACTTAATGTAGAATAAAAAATAAATAAATGCATGCACAACACCTGGGTCGGACTCTTGTTGTGAAGAAGGTAGGAAAACTCTTAATGGGCCCAATGGCTACATGCCTAAGAAGCCCATCTGCGAGTCTGAGCTGAGGGCTGAGCCCTAATTAACTTAAAACCAGGCTTAGCCCTGAAAGGCCTTGCCTGCCCCAAATCAAGTTCTCAATACAAGGATGCTTGTTTTTTATATAACTAGACACAGGCCTCTTTCTAACTTTCTTTTTTTTTTTCTTTTTTTCTATGCTCTCCACGTGGTCAGGGAGATTCTTTTGGAGAAAATTACACAATTCGTCATTAAAGTTTCACAAAATTCTTATTTTGACCATTGCACTTTAAGTTGTCCCAAATGGGTCATTAAAATTTGCTAGTTATATTATAAAATGATCTGTTTATTCTAATAGATTTCATCCAACCTAATGATAAAAAATATATATATAGTTATCATATAACGGTTATACGTTGTAGGTATATTTTAAAAAAAAATTAGATGAAAAAGACTCCTAAAAGCTTAAGGTTTTTTATATTTGATTGATGTGATAATTTATATGATAATTTATGTGATAGTTACGTTATTTTACTTGATTAGATAAAATTTGTTAGAGTGATCGGATTTCATATAATTATTTACGTAATTTATTCAACTTTTTGAGATAATTAATAGAGAAAAAAGATTTTACATTTGGTTTATTTATTTATATAGATAGAACTTAATGTATGAAAATATTTGTGATCAAATTCAGGAATGAGGAGGAAGCAGCTATAATACAACAACAAGTATACTGTAGATATCCAACTCATGAGGCCTTGCAGTACAAGTAAGTTGGTTCCCTTCACAACTAGTTGTGATTGTTTACTTATATACTGCTCCATTGCGCTATCAAACATTTCATATACTCTTATTTATTTATTTATATATATTGTGAATTTATTTTTCATTCTTTTGATGTTGAAAATTGTTAAATATAAATCTTATAAAAATATGTAAAATTCTTAATACAAAATATACTGATTAAAGCCAACTTTTTTTTTTAAATGTTATGAAAATCAGATAAAACAAAGAAAATAGAACAAAAATAGTATCTATTAATGAGGTAGAACACTTTACTACCTTAACATAAGACTGTGGAACTAGGATTTACCATAATATATATATAATTCTCAAATTTATAAGACTTATATAGGCTGTTGATAAGGCTTATAATTCTCAAATGAATGATATAAATCACCTCCTAGAAGCTTAAGAAAAAACAGAAACAAATCACCTCATATGTAGACATGAACCCTTAGGCTACAACATATTAGAAATACCGACAAGCTCCTTGTCAGCCCTTACAGAACTAAATACACAACAGACAAACACTACAAGACCTTAATGTGATGAGCAAACACAAACACAAGATTCTGCACAAGTGTTTGCTTCCTTAAAAGGTATGAAGGGAAAGGTCTAGTTGTTGTGTTGTTTACCCATGAGAGAGCCACACTAGAGTTGGATTAGATAACCAAAGACTTTAAGCCTCTCTAGGAGGATATGATGAACAAGTAAAGTGCTGTCCTGATATATAGCCAAGACTTGTGCATTGTTGGATTATTCCAAAGAAAATCCCCATCACAGTCCCATCTTTATCTATAAGAACACCACCACACCCGGCCACACCTAGCTTTCCTCTAATCAAGCCATCCACGTTGAGCTTCAGCTCATCATCTCTTGGAGGGATGCAGGCAGCCCTTTTCGAGTCCTTACCGATAAGTGGTCTGCTGGAAAGCCACGGCATTGTCCACCAACCTTCCTCATCCCCGACAATATCCTTCTCTAAGACATTAATCCAATATTTAGCTCTAACACCACTTCTTTCTTATCCATTCCTTTGCATTAAATAGCAAATCATTTCTTGCTAACCAAATTGACCAAAGAGTAACACTATATAACAAGAAGGAGCCATTTTTTCTTCATCACACTAAAAGAAAAGTATATTGGCAACATCTTTACAAGATCATTGAAACTGTGGGTCAAAACGAAATGAATTTTAATGAGGCAACAAAGGTTAAGAACGATCCTAAATGTCTAGACTAGGAAAATCTTTACAACGACTTGGTGCTATATATATACACACCTTTTTGATGGAAGAAATTAGTGTTCGAAGAATACTTGGGCTATATTTACACAAACCAGGCTTTTGTTTTACTTCATTAAAATTCTATGTACTTACGTACTATGCAGTTAAGTGACCAACCCAAGTGTCTTTTAGCCTTTTGGTAATGCTTCACTCTTTCAGATACTACTAAGTACTAAAAATGTTCAAGAGCGTTCACTGTTAAGTACTTGCAAATAATTTGGCTATCATCATGAGCCTTACCCCTTAGTTAGACATTTAGCTAGATAGATGTCTACTCATCATTATGCCATCCATTAAACAAAGTCTTATACTAGAGAAAACAATGGCAGATAATATATGATACCGGTGGACATGAACCAATTATACCAAGATATAAAATAAGATGATATTTTCAAACAAATCCTTAACGATTCAAAAAAAATTAAGCAGAAACTTGTAAGGTAATGGATTGGAAGCTCTAGAGAAATCAAAACTTAGCTTGTCCTGGAGTTAAAAATGTTATAGCTCTAGTCGCCAATATTCTGCTACAAACAATTTACTTTGTCTTCAGTCAATTCTCCAGACGTGTAGAAATAATGTACTCTACAGTATCACACTTTCAGACAGTCATGTATATGTACCGAAGAAAAGCCCTGAATAATCAAATGTTGAATATATATAGTAATGAGTTGAGGACATTTTGTAGATAAATCATACATATACGGACAAAGAACACAACATTATGATGTAGGTTATAGATGCAACCGTATTTCCTGTTTAACTTTGACTATTGAACATCTCAGTAGCTTAGTAGTATGATTATATGTTGTTCTTTCCAAGTTTGAGATATTCATCAGAATCTTGCTCAAAACTCGCCAAAGTCACTACAACCCCATTAGCCATATTCTTCTATGCATAATTTTTTCTTATTAAAGCTAGGGCACTGAAAGGATAAAAGGTGAAAACCCTTAAGTGTATCATAAAAGGAAAACAAATCCAAGCTCATATGACTCAAGGATAGTGAGAAGCTAAGAAAATAGCATGTGTGCTGTATTTGTGTCATCAGACCATTACTCTCTCTCCCAAAGATTATGTGTTTTTTAAGATCTTCCTACTTGCTCGATGTAAGATTGAAACACTTTGTTTACTTTTGTTGAAATGCTTAGCATGACATTCTCTTTAACTTAATTTAACTACTTCTTTAGGTTTGTTCTAATATCACTTTATTACGAGACTATTACTCTCTCTCTAAAAGGCTAACTTTATAAACTTTTCAAAATCCTTCTACATCTCCAATGTGAAATTGGAGTGTCTTACTTATTTTTTAAAAAACACTTGACGTGACACTTGCATCTAGCTAGCTAGAACATCGAAACCTATGTATTAAAATTCTTCTCCAAGACATAATTCATCTCATTCATAAATTTACACCTACAACATATATTGCAACTTTTTACTTAATCCAATCTAGCTATATTATTAAGTATTATAAAAAATTATACAAAACTTCAACTAGAACCAAAAATGTGGTCAAAACAAGCCATATAAATGAAAACCCAGTAAAATTCTATCGACATAAATATGCATAAAAACTAAATTTGCATCCTATAATTAAGTTTGCAAACAACTCACACCATAAGCATAAAACATATATAAAACAAAGTCATCACCACAACCATAAGGCTCCACCATAACATACAGCATATGTTGCAATTAATGCAACTTATATGTGTTTATTTCCTCCTCGGCAATGCATGTTCTACAGGATTATATATGAGCTACTTAAAAATACTCTACTGCATCGTTGGGTGCATTTGTCTTTCGTTATCTCCTAATCCATTAGAATTGCTAATTAAATTAACAAAATGTCTAATGTATTTCACCTCTTGAAAACTTTTCCATTAGTGGAATAATCAAGGCTGTAGATAATTGATGGAAGGAGAAGTCAAGAAATAATGAAGCTGAAGTTAACAAATGAAAGGAATTTTATCAAATAAGCTTAGATATTTTAATTACGAAAAACAAAAATACATTACACACGATGACACAAGTTTATATCAATACATTGCTCCACTTATATCTTAGATTACAGAGATCCATATATATCTGCAAACACAACAAAATGGAAATAATAGGAAGACTAAGTGGAACAAGAATAGAGAATATAACATACACATAAATACAAAAAAAAATAAAAAAACCAAACCCTAGAATACTATATTAAGCTAATCAGCTGCAATTTCATACTGAAAGCAGACGCTTCAGAAGATGCTAGTTGACATGATCATTAACCCTATTGGGGTCATTTTGGTTGAAATTTGAAGACATGATGGGAGATTCCCAGCCCTGGACAAGGCCAAAAGTTGTTGCAGTAACTGAAACCAATGCATCAGCGTGCGCAGTCACATTGGTCTGCTGTTGCATTTGATTCTGGTTGGCGAAAGCTTCTTCGTTTATCAATGAATTCAGAAAGGAGGAGAAGACATCATCAGTGCAGTAATTGATATCCTCATCTTCCTCATTGCTTATCCCTTGGTCTTGGTTGCTTCTCATTTCTATTCCAGAATCCTCGCAATTAAGCAGACTGGTAAATCCATGGGCTATTGCTGCCTCAGTTTGATATTGATGAAGAGTATTATTGCTCTGGAAATACTCATTTTCTTTGTGAGTGGTGATTTGACCGCTACTAGTCTCTTCCAAGCTGGAAGAAGAAGGATTATTTGGCTTTGGGATTGTAGCGGCCCCACGGTTTGCCTTGGAGGAAGAAGGAGCTTTGAGATCGCTTGGTGACTGTTGAGGGTTTAAAGGCTTGTGGGTTCTGGGATCTATTCCTTGGTTGATCAACTTCTTACTCAGGTGAGTGTTCCAGTAGTTCTTTATCTCATTGTCTGTACGCCCTGGGATTCTTCCAGCTATGAGTGACCATCTGCCCGAAAAGCCCAGTTAGAAAGAGCATCAAAAACAAAGTAATAAGGGTTGCTGTTGCAGTGTAGTAGCGAAAGAAGATAATTCATTGATAGACTATGAAAGATAAAGATAAAGATGGAGAGAGAATTTTGAGCTGCTTTCTTAAAGAGATTCAATTAAGTAGTGAATGCAGAAAGAAATGGAAAACCCTTTCGAAAGAGAAAGTTGTTCATCAGCTTGGATGAGTACGTCTGATCTAGACTTTCAAAAAAAAAAAGAAACCTACTTGAAAGCTTGGAAAAAACATTGAAACCCTAAGTCTAAAACACTTGATCATATTTGCTTGGAAACCCTAGCTAATATAGAAAGGAACAGAGAAGAAAAGGTCACCCAACTGAGCTGATATACCAGAATTTGAGACCAAACCCAAAATACAACATAAATTCATATTGAAATGTACAGGGAAATGTTGAACTACCGATTGCCGAGAAGGCGATGCAGGCGAAGAATAAGATCCTCCTCGTCAGGGGCGATCTGCCCTCGTTTCACGGAGGGTCGGAGATAGTTCATCCACCGGAGGCGACAACTTTTGCCGCAACGCAGGAGCCCCGCCCGCTTCGGCAGAGTCCTCCACCGTCCTTCACCTTCCCTCTTGATGTAACTGGCCAATAACTCATCCTCTTCTGGGGTCCATGGCCCCCTCTTCAGCCCTACCTTGATGCAGCAGGGAGTCTTGGCTCCGCTGTTGTTTCTTGTCGTTGTCGTCGTTAGTTTTGTCGCCGGCGTTGTTGCTGTGGCTGGGTTTCTCATGTTTTGGGTTTGAAGTACTAGTTAAGTTTCCTTTTCTATTGTAAATCTTTCTCTCTCAGGCTTCGGCTTCTGCTTTTGTTCGGGTATGTTGATGGGACTTGCTGTGTTTTGGGACATTATTTTATGATTGATAGGCAGTGGCTTTTTCCTCCCCTCTCTCTCTCTCTTTCTCTTCCAAAGTATATTGCTTGTTATCTGCTGTGATGAGGGTGCAGGTTAAGATGCAACCAAGGAATTTTGAATCTTCACGCACGCACACATAAGTGACCACCGCCAAGAATTTGAGGGTACCCCTATGTAATTTAAGTATCATCTATAGTCAGTGTTAATTTTCAGTTTGTCACATCACACTATGCAGGCAAATGAGAAGATAAAATAAATAAATATATTTTTATTATATAATAAATAATATTTTGATTAATAATAATTAATTAGTTATTAATTATAAAAATTTATTTAATTTAAAATAAAAATATAAAAATTTAATTAATTATAAAAAATAATAATTTATTTAAATTCTTTTAAATATTATGTAAAAAAATAAAAAGATAAAAAACAAGCATATATCACAATTTTGTGAAATTGATAAGAGCGTGAGTGGACGCTCTCCACAGTGCGAGTGGAACTGCTCTGATCAATGGTAAGGATACACAACAGGTGAGACAGTAAAGATGGTTGAAAAAGGGACCCACTGCTCACTCAGCCGCTAACTATGTCGGATTAGAAAATCATAGTAGGCGGTCCATGCAGTTGTATAATAAGCCGTGCACCACAAGTGCATTCGATATTTACCCATTACTGCTACCTAAAAAGGGCCTGTTCGATCTGTGAGCGAAGATCGAGTACCTTCTAAAGCATCTACACTCTGATGAGGACAATGAACGGACGGTAGATGTTGAGCCTTGAATGGTGAGTGAAGTTAGCTGAAGAAAATGCACAGTGGGGTTTGGATGCACGTGCGCTTGTGGGGCTCTAGCTGTTCTTCAAACTTCAAGCTCACTGTATTGTTGAACTTATTTCTTTATGTCACTAATTCTTTATCTTGGTTAGTGACAGTATATCTACTTATAATAATAATAATAATAATAATAGTTATTAATATTATACAATATGTATAGATAATTATATGGTATTTGATTAAATATTGAAGTGTATAATACGTTATGAGACATATATCTTATGATACAAATACATTATACGATATAATTGATATGTTTTTGATAAATTTAATTTTAACTAATTATTAAATATTTTTTAGTTGAAATATGAAAAATTATTTTTTTATAAATTTCAATCTTTAAGATTTATATTTTAAACATAAAAAACTGAAAAATCGAATTCTCATTTTAATTTTAGCATGTTAAGTGTTTTTTAATTTTTAATTAATAAATTAATACGAAAATTACATATTTTATCTAAAAATTATATATTATTAAAGAATATATTTAGAATTTAAATCAAAATAATTATTTTTTTAATTTATGACTTATAATCTTCAACCCTATTAATAAATATAACATTTCTAATTTTTTTATTTTACGTATATAAATATTATTTATAATTAAAGTACAATAAAAACATAATTATGTTTCCCGACAAAATCACTGCCTTAGCCGCTCTTCCCAAACTGTTTACAGGCCTTCTCTAATTTCTATAATTTTTATGTCTAACCTAAATTGCTTGGCCCACCTGTCAATTTTTAAACTCACCATTTAACCAATTGAGCTTTTTTTATATAATTTTTTACAGTATAGAAAAAATTAAATTAAATACAATAATATAGTAATTTCAATGCAAATACATTTTGAGTTGATTTACTTATTTTAAAATATAAATAATAATTATGTTAAGAAAAGCCATGCAATCAAATTACAAAATACAATTGAAATTTGAAACTTTTCTGACTAGTAAGATCAATTTTTGGTTGTTTAATATAAAAACCCTATCTAAGAGAGAAGACTTTTATATCTGTGAACCGATATCAAAATCAGAAGACTACAATATCTAGGGTTGTGAGATCTTCTATGCACCATTTTGGGAAAAGCCATGCAAATCAGTTTACATGAATAGTGAAACTTTAAAACTTTTCTCACTAGTAAAATCAACATTGGTTGTTTGATATAGATAAATTCTACCTAGTTGATAGAAGATTTAATACCTTAATTAAAGCCTTTGATGTTGAAATGAAGAGGTATCTCATTATTTTCTCCCCATAGAGCTTAAGTTGTCACAAATCTAAAACTGTCAAGTGTCTAACATCTAGTAGTGATCCAAAAAGACTATAAGTGGAATAACACCAAAAGTGGTTTAGGGTTTGCTTTTGCTGCTAAGCTTGATGCTAGATAAGAGGAGGCAATCTAGGTTTTTCATTTCCTAAGGAAAACTAAAAACCAAAAGAGAAGGAGGAAAAAGGAAGAAAAACTATTAAATTCCAAAGATAGGAGTTATAAAAATTGATTCTTAGGGAAAGCCACTCAATGTCAACAACTCTCAAGGTTAGGGAAGACTTATGGTTGCTGAAATCTCTCCTCACAATTCTCAATTGCCTCTCAGGATTTTATAGCTCAATGGTGTTTCTCTCGTGCCTCTAAAATGCAATATAAGCAATTTATTTATAAGGAAAAAAGCTAATCCTATTCCTATCAGGAATTACCTTGACAAGTTAAAATCATTCAATTAAGTCTTAAAGTCTATACTTCACCAATTAAGTCTAACTCAATCCCCAATTTTTCATTCTAATGTTGAAATCATTAATGTGTATGACCTATTAAATTCTCAATATGTTGATAATAAATATGCATTATAATCTTAGTCCAATAAGAATTAGATGAATTACACAATTTCCATTCATCCATATTTAGATCAATTTCCATAATTGATTAATCCATATTTATAAATAAGATTGACATATAGCAATGTGTCATAACTATCTAAATATTAAGAAAAGTCAAGAGATTCGAGTTAACATTTTAGTGCTCAATCTATCAATGTAATTTAATACGTCATCATCCTGTATCCCTAAAAAGACATACAGCATAGTGTAGTCTATTTAATATTTGTATTTGTTATTTTAGATTTGGCAATCTTCTTAACTCATTAATGAAATTTAAAACCTTATTTTCGAATCTTTATTCAACTTTGGTCAAAGATATGATTAATCTAAGTTATATCAAGAACCAATAAGATATCTGCTTTACATCAGTTAAGGTAATTTATAGTTTATCTGTCATTCATTTGTCTTCTTGTTGTTCAATTTATGCCCAATGTATGCCCTATTGTACATCATTGGCTAGAACTAACTAAGATAATCTATAACTACAAATAAAAGGAAGCCCTAGTAGGGCTTTATTATTGTCCAGTTTTGCAGCATTTTGGGTTGAGATATGTTTGGTATTTTGTGATTTAATGAGGATGGTTGGTTGATTTTTTTTTTTGATTGGGTCTAAGGTTTTGTTCTTTATAATGCTTTCCTTTCTTTTAGAATTTTCTTCCTTCCTCAAGGTTTTTTTGAGTTTCTCTCTTCAAACTTTTTGTTGGTGGTCCTTCACAGGTTATCTTCTTCTCTTTGTTACCCGGTTTTTAATAGGTTTTGTTCTTCGATTTCTCTACTTTCCCTTATTTTTCTTCTTCTTTTTCGTTGTTGATTATTTTTCCTATATTGTTCTGGCTTCTTTACAA